TGCTTCCCTCCGATGGGGGAGGGAAGGAGTCTCTCAGCCCTGCTCAGCCGTGTGTCCACACCTCTCCACAGGTCCCACCATGGTCGCCATGTGACAGAGGGACAGCAGAGTCATCGGCAGCCCCCCACGTGCAACCCAAATGTACTGGAATAGTCCCTCCTCCTAGGGGCCACTGAAGGGAATAAGAGATCCCTGGGGCAGCCCGGCTCCACCCGTGGGGTCTCAGCAGGACTGTGTCCACCATGATGTAGACTTCTCCTTCTTGTGTTCCCCTCTTACTGCACAGGTGAGAACTATCCTCCAGGATCTGATGCAGTCCCCCAGACTATGTCAACCCCTTTGGGTCCAAATCCCCCAAGGACCTTCACTTCCGTCCCTGCCCCAACACCCATGCATGCCTGTGTTTGTAGGTTCCTTCGCCCAGCCTGTGCTGACCCAGTGACCCTCATTCTCTGCATCCTTGGAGGAATCTGTCAGACTTATAGGCACCCAGAGAAGTGACATCATTGTTGTTAAAAAAAAAATGTATGTGTGTGTATATATACACATACTGGCACCAGGAGATGTCAGGGAGCCCTCCCTGGCATCTCCTGAGATTCAGCTAGGGATCCTTGGCCCCCGTCATTTCTTGGATCCAAAGATGTCTTGACGAGTTCATGTGTTCTGACATCTCTGGACTCCAGTGTGTTCATGTGTTCTGATAGGTCTGGACTCCGGTGTGAGGACAAGGGGACAATCACTATGCTAAGATAGTAGCAATCCATCCACAGTGCTCCAGATCCATGGGGAAGTGAGACAAAATCCCCCTCCGGTCTCCAGGCCTGGTGACATACCCTGTCAGGTGGCCCAGGAGGGGTGACTCTGTTGTCAGATCTTCAACAGACCCTTAGTTGTCCTGGAATGAGATGATTTTCCTTCCGTGAAATATTCAGATTGATCACCTATTCTCACTGTGCTCAGATTTTCAAAGGCAAAACTGGCTTGCTCAGAGTTAAACGTTACCCAGTGGAGGGGTGCCTGGCTGGCTCAGTGGGTAGAGGCTGGAACTCTTGCTCTCAGGACGTGAGTTCAAGCTCCAATTTAGGTGTAGAAATTGCTCAAAAATAAAAGGTTGAAATTTTTTGAAAAGGAAGAAAAGATGGCAGAGGAGTAGGGGACGCTATTTCAACTGGTCCCCGGAATTGAGCTGGATACCTACCAACCACTCTGAGCACCCACAAAACCAGCCTGAGATGCAAGAAGATCTGGATCTCTACAAACAGAATATGGCAGGCGGTTGGTTTCGAGGTAGGAAGCGGAGAGCCATCACTCTGCGGGCAGGTATCAGAGGATTAATGGCAGCAGGAGGGAGCCTGGCCGTGGGGATCCTACACCACCGGTGAGTGACAGCCTCCTGCACTGGGGACCCGGAATAGACTTGCAGACAGTAGCTGCGGGTAAAGGACTTTAGGGCAGCCCCGGGGGCGGAAACCCGGAGCGGTGGGGTCAGTGTGCGAACTGGGGGCAGCTGGCGGTTTTAGAAGCACAAAGGGCAGAGACCTGCTCCGACCTGGAGGCAGGACTGGGGGCGCTGCGGAGGGGCGCACAACCCAGGCCGCTGCAGTTTATAGCAGCACAGACAGAAACGGAGACGGTGTGGCCTTGGAGAGCTCACTGAGATCAGACTGCGATCTCTCTGCTCTGAGCTGGAGGGTTGGAAATGGTCTCTTCTGCTCTGACTCCTGGAAGAGATGCGGAAAGCCATGAGGGAAAGCCGCCAGAGAACAAAAGCCCCAATAACTGATTCCCACTGAGACCCTCCCCCACCACAGGGGGGGCAGGGCAACTCCGCCCAAACAGGGCTGCCTGAGTAACAGCGTGGCAGGCCCCTCCCTCAGAAGACAGGCTGGGAAAACAAGAGGCCAGCAGCCCTAAGGTCCCTAGAAAACAGGTGCTTCTTGCTTGGGGTTCTGGTCAATAATTTGGACTCTATACCTTCCCTCAAACACCCATCAACAGAATGACTAGGAGGAGGAACCACCAAAATAGAAAAGACTCAGAGATCATGACTTATGCAACAGACTTACAAATGGACGCAGATATAACCAAGATGTTGGAGGTGGAATTCAGGCTAGGAATTGTGAAGACAACGGCTAGAATGGAGAAATCAATGAATGGCAACATAGAGTCTCTGAGGGCAGACCTGAAAGCTGAATTGGCAGAACTTAAAAATGCTATCAGTGAGATCCAATCTAATCTAGATAATTTAACAGCTAGGGTAAGTGAGGCAGAAGAGTGAATAAGTGACCAATTTAATAGATAAAAATGGAAAAGAGGAGGCCAGGGAAAAACAACTCAGAATCCATGAAAATAGAATCAGAGACATAAGTGACACCATGAAGCGTTCGAATGTCAGAATTAATGGAATCCCGGAGGGAGTGGAGAGAGAGAGAGGACTAGAAGATATAGTTGAGCAAATCGTAGCTGAAAACGTCCCTAATCTGGGGAATGAAACAAACATTCGTGTCCTAGAGGCAGAGAGGACCCCTCCCAAGATCAAGGAAAACAGGCCAACACCCCCGCATGTAATAGTAAACCTTGCAAATCTTAGAACCAAGGAAATCATCTTCAGGGCAGTTAGGGGGAAGAGATTCCTTACAATCAGAGGGAGGAATATCAGAATAATGTCAGACCTATCCACAGAGACCTGGCAAGCCAGAAAGGCCTGGCAAGACATATTCAGGTTACTAAAGGAGAAGAACATGCAGCCAAGAATACTTTATCCGGCAAGGCTGTCATTTAGAATGGATGGAGAGATGCAGAGCTTCCAAGACCGGCAGAAACTAAAAGAATATGTGAGCACTAACCCGGCCCTGCAAAAAATATTAAGGGGGGTTCTATAAAAGGAAAAAGACCCCAAGAGTGATATACAACAGAAATCTACAGGGACAATCTATACAAACAACGTCTTCACGGGCAACATGATGACAATTAATTCCTATCTTTCAATAATCACTCTCAACCTGAATGGCCTTAGTGCTCCCATAAAATGGCACAGGGTTGCAGATTGGATAAAAAGACAGGACCCATCCCTATGCTGTCTACAAGAGACTCATATTGAACCTAAAGATACATCCAGACTGAAAGTGAAGGGATGGAGATCCATCTTGCATGCCAGTGGACTTCAAGAGAAAGTTGGGGGAGCAATTCTTATATCAGGCAAATTAGTGTATAAACTAAAGTCTGTAGTTAGAGACACAGAAGGACCCTATATCATTCTTAAAGGGTCTATCCAACAAGAAGATCTAACAATTGTAAATATCTATGCCCCCGAACATGGGAGCAGCCATCTACATAAGCCAACTGTTAACCAAACTAAAGAGTCATATTGATACCAATACATTAATTGTAGGAGACCTCAATACTCCACTCTCAGCAATACACAGATCATCTAAGCAGAAAATCAACAAACAAGAGCTTTGAATGATACACTGGACCGATGGACCTCATAGATATATACAGAACATTCCACCCACCCTAAAACAACAGAATACTCATTCTTCTCGAGCGCACATGGAACTTTCTCCAGAACAGACCACCTACTGGTTCACAAATCAGGTCTCCACCGATACCAAAAGACTGAGATTATTCCCTGCATATTTTCAGACCACAATGCTTTAAAACTGGAACTGAATCACAAGAAAAATTTGGCAGAAATTCAAACACTTGGAAGCTAGAGACCACTCTGCTCAAGAATGTTTGGGTCAACCAGGAAATCAAAGAAGAACTTAAACAATTCATGGGAATCAGTGAGAACGAAAACACATGGGTCCAAAACCTATGGGCTACTGCAAAGGCAGTCCTAAGGGGGAAATACATAGCCATCCAAGCCTCACTCAAGAAAAATAGAAAAATCCCGAATTCCCCAACTAACTCTACACCTTAAAGAACTAGAGAAAAAGCAACAAACGATGCCTATGCCATGTGTTAGAAGAGAAATAATTAAGATTAGAGCAGGGATCAATGAATTAGAAACCAGAAACACAGTAGATCAGATCAACGAAACTAGAAGCTGGTTCTTTGAAAGAATTAATAAGATCGTTAAACTACCGGCCAGACTTATCCAAAAGAAAAGAGAAAGGACCCAAATTAATAAAATTGTGAATGAAGGCGGAGAGATCACGATTAACACCAAGGAAATAGAAACAATTATTAGAAATTATTATCAACAACTATATGCCAATGAACTGAGCAATCTGGATGAA